ATAAATACTGTATTTACTAGTAAATATCAGATTTACCTGAAAATTTGGCCACCGACTTCGGTGACCGTTTAACACTGTATTTACCCGTAAATATCATATATACTAATAAATGTCATATTTATTCAAAAATTCAGGCACCGATTCCGGTGACCTTTTAACACTATATTTACTAGTAAATACCCTATTTACGAGTAAATATCATCCAGTGACTCCGGCAATTGTTTAACATTGTATTTACCGGTAAATACCTTATTTACTATTAAATATCATATTTATTCAAAAATCCTGCCACCAATTCCGGCAGCCACTAAACACTGTATTTATCAGTAAATACTATATTTACCATATTGCATTTACCGTAATTAAACTTCTTCAGTGAAGTATTTACTGGAAAGTACAATGTTTAATTGATTTAAACTCAAATTTAGTAAAACATTTACTAGTAAAATAATATTTATCAGATTAAGAATTAGATTCAATAAAGCATTTACATAGTATTTATCAAATCAAGAATTAGATTGAGTGAAATATTTACTGATAAATACAATATTTATCAGATTAGAAATTAAATTGAGTGAAAAGCAAGGGTCCCTCGACATACCGAAAATGAGGAGACGACAAACTCAAATATACAAAAGTCACATGCTCAAACGAATCCGTAAAATCACAAACATGGATTTACAGAAAAATAACTAACTCAGACAATTCTAAAAAACAAACTTAGATTGAAAGAAATCACAAACTCATCCGAAATGACAAACTCAGATGTCAAAACAAACTTTCAAAAAACCGAAGTCTAGCTTTTCTGCAATAAACATGCTAGCACACTAGAATAAAATAAACATGGCAGCACAACGCCAAAAACGGAAACATGGGACCAAAATACCTCCAAATTAAAGTCAGATCTTAACCCTAACCCTAAAATAAATGCCAAAAGTACTCTTATTCCCAGTAACCCAGACCTCGCCGGCCACACAGCACCGCCCACAATCCGCTGCCAAAAGCCAAGCATCATCTCTGTTAAACCTGCATGAAACCTCAACAAAACCAAGAGAAAAAAATCGTGAAAACAAAGCCCAGGCATCATGACGAGCTCCATTACCGGCGAGATTTGAATCGCAAAGGCGTCAGAATCGCGAAGCTTCGACTCTCAGAGTTTTGAGCGTGCAGTAGATCAGAAAACCAAGAAATCACGAAGCTCAAACCTACATCAAAACTCAACAAACCAAGAAAAAAATTGAAATCAAACCTTAACTTCCATGCGTCATTAACTAGCACCATTGCCGGTGAGATCTCTACAGGATCTGAATCGCAACGACGTCGGAATTGCGAAGCTTCGCCCGTCAGAGTTCCGTGCGTGCGGTAGAGCCAAATCGCAAGAGAACCTCGCCGGAGATTCCCTCACGCGGTTGCTATCGTCGGTCTTCAGAAGACGCCACTGTCGCTGGTCGTGGCTGCATTATGCGGTTGTAAGAAATCACCCCGAACCCGACGAACCCGGCCGAGTCGAGCCGACCCTACTCAAAAATCACGGGTTTCTAATGTTTTATTTAATTTTTGGTTTTAATTATGCCTAACCCGCACTGCGCGGGTAGGGGCGTGGGGTGGGGTTACATGAACCCAAGGTAACCCTACCCGGCCGAACATGTTCAAAGTAGGTAAAACAATGTCCAACACTTCAAATTCTTACTTTCATAAGTTTATGGACTTTATGCTTTTAAACTATTAACTTATTTATGTTTTGGATTCACGGTTTGTGTGAAAAATACTTGTATGCCATAGTTGTTGAATTAAGGCATTCTTTATTTATATTGGAAGTGTTTGATTTCAAAGTGAGTGTTTTAATTGTTCACCTTGCATTTAGACCCCCTCTTGAAGGAAAGACATGTTCTGTTTGATAATGATTTCTTCTGTAACAAGTACAGATTAATTGACTAAAAATTAATTAAAATTGATGAAGTCATAGATTAAAATTGGTTTTCACCGACCCGAGTAACCCGACCCTACCCGAAGTCACCCGAAAGGTTGCGGGTTTGTAGACTTAAGAGAGTGTCACGGCCTAAAATTTTCTCAACCCGCACTGGTCGGGTAGGCTCAATTTTTCAGCTCAACCCTACCCTACCCGGCCTACATATAAGTTCGGGGAGAGAGATATAGAAAGAGAGAGGCAGTAGAGAGAGAATTGGAAATAGACCTAAAAAGCAATCTGAAAGAGAGAGAGAAAAAACCTTAAAGGGTAAAATTGGAATTAAACAAATCTGTTTGTAAGCAAAATCAGAATGTGTTATAATTTCTTATCATTTAAAAAATGTGTTATTTATTTTAAAAGTGAATTTCAAATTTGCTATTTGGCCTATTTTCCCTTATATTATTTTATAAGTTAAATCAAGATTAAAATTAGAATGAGATATTAAGGGCCAAATTAAATATTATAAAAATATAATCTATAAGAAATTAAAATTTTCAAATCTTTATTAAAGGAGTATTAGGGTGTGTTCGGCTGTCTAAAAAACTCAAAAAAAGGCAACTCGAGTTCCAACTTTATTCAACTTCATGTTCTTTTAAGTTTAAATTCGAATTTGAACTCGAGTTTGGGATTAAAAATCGAGTTCAAGTGTCCCATTGAGTTCAGAAACTCGAACTCAAATTAATAAACATTATTTTTTCTATTTTTAAAAATGCTATAACTTTTTCGTTTTAATCCTGATTAAGATGATTTTTTTTCTATGCGTTGACAACGAAAAGACGAATAAAACCCCACCCATATACCATATTAAAATTTTTCATCACCATTGAGTTTTTATTAAAGTACTATCTAAATGCAAATTTAAGTTTTGACTCACTCAAACACAAACTCAAAAAAAGATTCTTATCTGAAACCAAAACTCAAATGTATGCAACCAAACATAAACTCAAGTTACAACTTCAACTCAAGTTATAACTCAGATTCAACTCAAAAACTACACTCAAGTCACACTCTAAAAGAACATGCCCTTAATTATCTGGAACATTTATAAGTTATAGGGGTGCAAATATAACCCTCCTCTAAGTCCTCTTTCTCTCGTCACTTAGGGTGTGTTCAGCTGCCTAAAAAACTCAAAAAAGGCAACTCGAGTTCTAATTTTATCCAAGTTCATGTTCTTTTAAGTTTGAACTCGAGTTTAAACTCGAGTTTGAACTCGAATTTGAGACTAAAACTCGAGTTCAAATGTCCCTTTCAACTCGAGTTCAGAAACTCGAGCTCAAATTAATAAACAATATTTTTTCTATTCTTAAAAATGTTATAACTTTTTCGTTTTAATCCTGATTGAGATGATTTTTTTTCTAGGCGTTGACAACGAGAAGACGAATAAAATCCCACCCATATACCCTATTAACATTTTTCATCACCATTGAGTTTTTATTAAAATACTATCTAAATACAAATTTAAGTTTTGACTCACTCAAATACAAACTCAAAAAAAGATTTTTATCTCAAGCCATAACTTAAATGTACACAACCAAACACAAACTTAGTTACAACTTTAACTCAAGTTATAACTCAAATTTAACTTAAAAATTACACTCAAGTCACACTTCAAAAAAATATGTCCAAACTTTTGAAGTATGTATTCTTAATTTTGTCCACGTGGAGGAACTAGCTTGTCTTTAGCAATGGCCGCCTAATGTCTGCAATCAGTAAAACAAAGTTTTAGGAGGAAAATATTGTGAGGAAAAGTTGACACTGCTAGAATATAAACTTTTCTGGGACTTTTATTGGCTCTGCCAGTGAGGTTTGATTTGATGGTTAAATTTAATTAAAATTATATTAGATTAAAAAAATATATAGAATAAATAATTTTTAATATAAATTTAACATTAAAAATAAATAAATTATTAATAATTTATTTTTTTAATCCAAACTTTTCTTGACAAAACTTTTGTCCATAAAATAACTAGAAAAAAAGCCTATAAGGACTAAAATGTCCTAAAAAAAGCCTATTATTTTTCAAGCTCTTTCTATTTTGTTCTCTCTTTCTATCTCTTCCCTCTAATCTATCTGCCCTTTTTCGGTTGTCGCACCAAGAAGAAGTCGAACCTTCTTCACCAAAAGTTTTCGACTCGGAGAAGTCGTCGAGTGTGACAAAACTAGCTGCATGGTGCGATCTTGCCAATAAACTAGATTGCAAGCCGACATTATTCATAGAGATGAAATGGATGGCCAATTTTCTCAATAATAATTATGAGGTTCGTGGTTTTTATTTGTTACCAATCACTTTGTTCTTATTAGTTATCATGTATACTAAGGCATATTAACATTATTTTACGAATAAAAAAAGTGATAAAAAAAAGATTTTAAGCTACCTTTCTGTTAAAAGAATATGTCTATACGGACTTCGGCGAAAAAAGCATTAAATATGGACATTTCTTATGGCATTCAATTGCAAAAACAAGATGGCAAGTAACGGTGTCAACAAATTAATTGTTAGGGACTTGAATGATTAAGTTCTTAAAATGGAGACTTAAATGCCAAACATTACAAAGTTTGAATACCCATGGCGTAAAAATTCCGAACTGTGAACACACATACTAGATCAGGCCACACTTACATTTTTTCTTGAAAAAAATCTATGATTTATTATGGTTTTGTGTAAATCCATTATTTATGTCATTTTAAATAATTAAATGTCTGTGAATTTTTATTTTTATTAATTGAATGATAATTATTTATATTTTAGTGTAGAGATATAAATAATATTTTGTACTATATTGAGTGGTATTTCTGATTTTTCTCCTTTTTTTTGTGTGCTAAATATAATTATTTCACTGGCGGAGCAGATGAAAGGCGGAAACAGGGAGGAATCCCAAAAGAAACCAAAAAACAGGGGACGCAGGCCCTCCAAAAGACACAAACATACATCACCGACGATTCTTTTTGTTTTGGCATCTAGGAGAAAGACAAAACATGTGCAATATATATGTTCGGAACACATGCAGTGTGCGTAAATAGATATAAATGATTTTAGGGGAAAATAAAAGATATTGAATATATAGGAGGTGGTGTTTAGTAAGAAAGGACCACCAATATGCAATCTTTTTGTCTGCCCCATAATTTACATACTGAAAGAAAACAAAATAAGGATATAACTCATTGGTTAAAACATGGAAGTTTGGCACTTAAAAAGCACATCATTTGTGTGGGGTACAAATATTTCATAACTTAAACATACATCCAGAGATATTTTGCAGGCCAATTGCTTCAATAATTATTGAATTACTTGAAGGGAAGTGCTCTGATCACAATTTGATGGTACAAAGCTGCGAGAGCGGCTCCAATGAAAGGTCCCACCCAGAAAATCCACTGCAAACCAAAACGTTTATTTGAACGACAAATTAATATTTTAGTTCACACGTATATGTAATTTACGAAGATATGTAGAGCCGTTTTGTAATTCTAACATACATACATATATATATATATATATATATATATATATATAGGGCACATCATAGAAGCTTACATGGTCGTCCCAAGCATGTTCTCTGTTGTAAATGAGAGCTGCCCCTAGACTCCTTGCTGGGTTGATACCTGTCCCTGTGATAGGGATGGTGGCCAAGTGAACCAGGAACACTGCAAATCCAATAGGTAGCGGCGCCAGAATCTGAAATGTCCGACACCAATTGTCAAGCCCGTAAAATATAATAGGTAAACGTGTACATATTTCTATATTTAATGATAATCACTTATGGAAATATAACTATTAAAAATTTATCTATATGTGCATACAACAGGATGACATCTCAAGAAATAGACCAAATCACGGAGCCAAATCAATATTAAGAAAATGAATCATGCTACATAAGCCTATTCCTACTTAAAACCTATTCAGAAGTTGATATGTGTTCCTATAGCTCAATTTATTTACTTTTCTAAAGAGTTGGAAAAAAAGTGTTTCAGTCTATTAAAATTTTGACAAATGGGATTTTTAATATAACATCAAATAATGAAGAGACATATAGGTGATGACGTGTACATGGCATGATGTTTTGTGAAAAATTCAAAATCACCGTTAGAAGATGTACAACTATTTGCAAATAATTGGATTGTGCTAGTCCCTCACTCCCTCTTCATATAACTTCTTTTTTGCTCAACTACCCTTTCATTTAATTGTGTAATAAAATTGTAAAATTAAGAAAACCATGTAACTCAATAACTAAATAAAATGATTCGCTCATGCAGCATTTTAATTAAAGATATGCCTTTTATTTTACACACAATTTGTAAACGAAAAAAGCAGTGCAATTATAAGAGATTTTGCTTACAGGAACGTGGGAATCGCGGGCGTTGCGCTTAGCATCAGTAGCGGAGAAGACGGTGTAGACAAGCACAAAGGTGCCCACAATCTCGGCGCCAAGGCCGTCGCTCTTGCTGTATCCTGCGGCAACCGTGTTGGCGCCGCCGCCAAGCACCTCGTACTGAGTCTTCTGGAAGCCCTTCACAACGCCGGCACCACAGATGGCTCCCAGACATTGCATTATCATGTAAAACACCGCTCTTGTCAAGGACAACTTCCTCGCCAACAACAACCCGAAAGTCACCGCCGGGTTAATGTGACCCCCTGCCATAAACCACAACAACACTTATAACTAAGAAAGGACTTATAGCTTTTTTTTTTTTTTCTCAATATCTCCGATTTTTTTTTCTTCTCCATTCAATAAAAGACAGATAATCAGTGACGGAGCCATGGTGGTGAATTGTATTCAAGTGATTGACAAACAAAAAACAGTAACTAAGTGATTGCTTTGAATGGTGTGATCAGTTCAAATATATCTTTACCTGATATACCGGCGGTGCAGTAAACAAGAGCGAAAATCATTCCACCAAAAGCCCATGCAATGCCTTGGATTCCCACGGTGGAGCATTTGCTGGGAGATTTAACCACCCCCATAACTGTCAAAACCGTGATGTAAAGGAACAAGAAGGTGGCCACGAACTCGGCTATGCCGGCCCGGTAAAACGACCACGATGAGAGCTCCCCGGGCTCAAACAGAGGCGCCGGAGGCGGCTCCGTGTAGTCCTTGACGTCTTGGCTCTGAGCCGCTGTTCCAATGGGCTGTCTCTCGCCATATCTGTTCGCTCCCAATCTTACATCTTCTTCTTTGCCCTCCATTATCTTTCTCACCTAATCTTCTAGGTTTTTAGAGTATAGAGATATAGTGGATTTTGTGCAAAGCAAAGGCCTTTTGTGTTATGCTGAAACGAGTGAGCAAGTGGGGTATTTGTAGCGTGGGGTTTGGACAAAAGGGTTTGGCAGTTTAACATGAGATTTGTATTTTTTTTTATTACTTTTTTTTTTTTTTTTGTCATCACTTTTTTCCCGAAATAAGAGTAATGAAATTTGCATTATTGTAGACACACCACCGACCCCTCCACTCTAGCCTTAGAAAAGTCGTTTGTTTTTTTCCTGGCAATCAAGGAAGTAATTGGATGTCTTTGTCTTCGCTCACTTGTATCGCTATTGTAGGAAGCTTGTTTTTCTCTCATATACCCTTTACTTGCAGGGCTTTTGCTTTTACTCGACCCTTTTGAAGTTACCGTAACTTCTAAGCAAAGTTTGATCGATTTTTCCAAGGAGTGAGTGGAAAAACGATGCGTACTCTAATGGTTTGATTTGATGTGACAGTGGCATTCGAGAGTGGCCTGTGATTAACATACAGTGTGTGTTCTTCAAGAACTTCTACCTTAGGAATCGCCGAAGTTCCCAACAAATCGCTCTTTTTTCTTATTAGTAATAACTGTTGTTTTAACTGAGAATTGTAAATTTCAACAGTAATACTCTAATGTTGAGTATCTATGTTAAAAATTTTAGGTGCTTAATACGTAATTGTTTCCTATCATAAATCTCACTGTTAGTTAAAATTAATCCAACAACTAAAATAACAGTTATACCGATACACAAAAAATTTATATTTTCTATCTAGTAAAAATTATGAATGGGGTTTGAACATTTTGTCCGTGTAACATGCACAATACTAAACACAAGGAATGATGATCCAACAAAAGTGAGAGAAGCATGTCTGATGGATGTAGAAGATTATTGTATACTGAAATTTCAGTGTCATTAAAATATAAATACGGTGGAAAAAAGAAATACTTAATGGTGTAATATTGCTTTAGCACTATTGTGCCAATGACTAACGATAATGATAATTATCCATAATGGCTGTGGACGACATTGTCCTAAGCACCAGCGGATGATCAAATGTACAGTTCCTTTGTTTTTTCAAATATGATTCACGATTTCCATCCATGAACCGACTATTATGGGACCCACACTTAACCCATGAAAAGCTTTTTGCGGTGTGAATTGACTACTTTGAGCCATACAATAGGAGGGCGGCAAAACGACAGCCAATAGTTTGCAAGTTATGATGGCCGACCATTGCCGTCCAGACGTCCTCAGCCGCGCGTCATTGACACGTGTATTAGATTGCTTACTACTACGGCTCGTTCAGTTCGCTGATTCGAGTTTTTAATTCGAATTGAGATGTGATTTTATGTAAAATTTTTTTACTGTAACAAAAAAAGTTAGATGTGACTGTTTGTGAGAGCTTTTCACTGTAGCAAAACTCGAATTCTAAACTCGAATCAGTGAAATGAACGAGGCCGACGAAAATACACGTCCCCAGCCGAGCTTCATTGACACCTGTATTAGATTGCTTACGGCTTCCGCAGTTTCAAATTTTTAATTTGAACTTATATACGATATTTTATAAAAAATTTTAACTCTAATAAAAAAAATTAAATGTGATATTTTTAAAAATTTATAATTATAAAAATTTAGAATTGAAAACTTAAATCGGTAAAATAAATAATGTCTACATTTAAATGTTTGACGAACACATTAGTACTATATAAACTTAAAACAAAAGGGGAACTAATTTGTATTTTTTCTATTTTAATAGGGTATATGGGTCGGGTTTTACTCGTCATTTCGTTGTCAACGCATAGAAAAAAAATCATCTCAATCAGAATTAAAACGAAAAAGTTATAGTATTTTTAAGAATAGAAAAAATACTGTTCATTAATTTAAGTTCGAGTTTCTGAACTCGAGTTGAAGGGAAAACTTAAACTCGAGTTTTAGTCATAAACTCAAATTTGAACTGGAATTTAAACTTAAAATAACATAAACTCGAATAAAATTGTAATTCGAATTACATTTTTTGAGTTTTTCACTCAAAAGAACAAGCCCTTAGTAATATTTGTTAAGAAAAGGAAAAATCTACATATTCCGAGAGTTTGATGTTTTGAGTTTTGACCACATTCAAAAAGATTAAAATATTCACGGTTGTTCTCTATCACTACTTTAAAATTGGTTTTTAACATCAGTCAAAAATCGTTGTTAAAGATTTTTTAACAACGATTTTCATATTGACTTCATATAAGGTGTTGTTAAAAATTATTTTTAGCAACGGTCAAAAAACCGTTGCTAAAAATTCTTAAAGACCTTTCTTAACTAATGTTATAAATATTTAAAGACGTCGGTCTTATAACCGATGTTAAAAATAATAAATAAATTCGGCTATTAACAGATGTAAAATATTATTAAATACCTGCAATCTATTTCCACCATTGTTAAATAATTTAAAGACAAGCTGAGTTCATATTGCTTCCATACATTTAATCGTTCGATTCTAGAAGACTATTATTAAGGCAGGAAAATCAATAATACTAAAGCTAAAAATTCAATAAATTATGTATACTTCATTCAAAATTTAATTATACAACTAAAAATCTTCAATTATTTCATACAAGTATTATCAAATATTATAAAGAAATTATAAGGTATACAAACATAGTGTTGTCAAACGTGCCGTGCCGGGCCGGCACGGCATGCTTGACCCCAGGCCCATCACGGGCCTGGGCCGTGCCAGGTACGGCCCTGCACAGTGCAGGGCCATGCCTGGGCCGGGCCTGAGAAGAAAAACTCAGGCCCGGTCCAGGCCCTGGCCCTAGTCCATAAGGGCCAAGGCCGGGCCTAGACCCAGGCCCTTCACGGGACGGCCCCGGCCCTTCACGGGACGGCCCCGGCCCTTATTTTTTTTTTTAAATTTAATTAAAAAATATTAAATGCCCCAAAAGATGTGATTTTATTGAATTGACGTAATAAGAGTACACGTAAATGACTGTCTCGTTAAAAACCTTGCTAAGTAAAACCCGTGGGGAGATCGAGACAAAACCTTAGCGAGGGAAAAAAGAGTGTAGTAGCTAGGAATAGTAAATTACAAACCTAAGTGCTTCCAGAAGACTCTGTTATTTATAAGTTAGAAAAATATTCTTGCATCGAATCATCTATGTATTGTTGTTTTCGTCTTCTGGCATTTTCCCAGTCTTTAACGCACATTAGTCCCTCCAAGATATCTGGATGCATTCTGCTTCTCTTCTCGTCAAGAATTCGGTTGCTTGCGCTAAAAGCTTGCTTCGATGCTACCGTTGACACTGGAGTTGTCAGAATGTCACGAGCTATTATGGACAGTGTTGGAAAATGATCTGTCTTGCTCTTCCACCACTGTAAGATGTCTAGTTTATCGTCATCAATTAAAAAATTTACTTCAAAATATTTGACTAGTTCCGTAGACGCTTGTGTTGAGGACGGTCCTGCCGTTTTCTCTTTCTTCTTCAAGAAACTCCACAACGATCCTTTAGGCCCCGAACTGGTAGTTGA